ATGAACAGTATAACGGAGCCAAGAGTGTGTACGATGTCAAACATAGCAGAAACTTTACATCGTTTACTAAGTGCGGAGCTGATTACAGTCTTTGATCTGCGACCCGGGTGGTGTCAGCTCACAATAAAACCGGGAGATAAATTAAGACGGCATTCTTAGTGGGACAGAAACAGTATCGGTTTAGACGCATGCCTGTTGGATTGGTAGGTGTCCCGTTTAAATTTAGACGATTAACGACGTTGCTGCTAAAGAATTTAAAGAACGTTGAGGTTCACAGAGATGATGTTGTGATATACAGCACGAGAGTGACCACGTAGAGCATATAGAAGCAGTTCTAAGACACACTGAAGATTTCAGTCTGCGCATCAACAAGGCCAATCTGTCAGATTACTGAGGAGAACGCTACTCTTTTGGGACAAAAAGTGGAAAAAGGGTTAGATAACACCACCACCTGAAAAATTTTAACAATCAATCCATTGAACCCCCGAATTCAAAAGGGAAATTAAGACATATTTTAAGGAGAGCAGGGTTATATAGTCGGTTCGTGAAATGCTTCAACAAAGTAGCAGCAATGTTGTCAATGTAGTTGAAGATTGAATGATCAATTCATGGTTGTTCGCTCAAACCCAACTCTGAATTTTGGTGGGAGTCATAGATACTGCAGTCATCGCTTCATCGTTCGCTTTTCGTTGGAAGACACAGAAAAATTATCAGAAGTGTTATTGTGATTTATTATTATGACATTTATTCTTAGACTTTGTGAACAATAACCTAATGGTTGACTCTGTATTTGGTGCAAGAAAAAACGGCTCTTGAGTCACCAATTTGTGTTCTGGGTTTTTTGCGTTGGTTATTACGCGCAGTTCCTGAAAGTCTTCCAAGGGCAGTGTGAAGTCCAGCGTAGTTAGATCTGGACATTGACATCCGCTCTATCGGCTATTAGGCGAGTCAAAGTCTGTCTGGTCGGAGAACTGGCAGAGGATATTCGACCGCATCAAACAGCTGATGGATCACCAGAGAATGACGCTGAGAATATCAGTGGCTGCAAAGCCGTTCATAGTGTCTACTGATGACAGCGATCACTGAATAGGCGCACTACTCATACGGGTGATTATATAGCACACACCCCCATTTGAAGTGGCGCCTGTATCGCGTTACGTTCAACGTTTGCGTTACATTTTTACGTGATTCGTTACATAAAATTTATCTTGTTGTAATACTTGCACAAGTACTATACCACTTCCATACTTGCAACCATTAACTTTCATTTCTAATAGTTATGGTTAATCAAAGTAAAAAGCGACGAACCCATTCCCCTGTAAAACTGGTGTCTAATATAACGTCCTTGATAGCTACATCAAGCAACACACCCCCTACAAACGGCTATAATGAGTCACACAACTCACTTGTAGGCCGTAAGCGTCGAGCTGGAACTGAGGATAAAACTGTACTGACAGCTAGTATTAGCACTACTCCTAAAAATTCAGTACCCTCCGCTCATACAGAACCCCTCCCTTCACCTTATGTGCTTATCGAAAAACTCCAGCCATCAAGCACTTCTACAGCACTATCTTCAGAAATAGAACTTCTAAAGTTCTCTATAGGAGAACTTAAGGCTGAGTTAAGGGAAATAAAAAACAGTAAGTCAGTAAATGCTGGAAACATCGAAACCGATACCGAGATATCCAAACTATCAGATCAGATCAGTGATATCAGATCGCAGGTCTGTGAGTTGACACCTCTAACTATCCTCATGAAAACTGTAAATCTTAACAAGCTTGACACAGAATCGGTAACTAGGGTAGATAACCTCATTAATTTTGTTACCACAGAAGTAACAAAACGACTCGACGCAAAACTGAGTGCTATTGTCTACAACGTTCCGGACAATGAGGCACTAAAAAAGGTACAGTGCATCTTACTTAGTGAAGCGAAAATGCCTAACTCCAAGACCAAGTGCTATAGGCTGAAGAAGAGTCAACATGAAAAGTGTTGTCCTATTCGTTTTCAGTTCGAAACACCGGCAGAGACAAGAAAATTCATCCACTCCCAACACACCCTATCGCAAGCCAGAAACTACAAACATAAAGGTCGGGGTGGACAAAACAGTCATAGAGAGGCGCGCATACAACTATCTCACTAAGACTAATTGTGAAACAGGTAATAGGACATTGCAAGCAGCCATTATTCCCAACCCTGTGGAAGATACAGTAGACCCCACCGCATCACCCCTCTCAAAACACACAGAATTATCCCATCAGAGTGCAACACCAGCTGAAAGGCCACTAGACTGTAACCAAATAAATAATAAAACCATACCACCCATCACCGCAGAATCTAAAATGCCATTAAATAACCCCAGAAAAAAGTCAAAAGCGGCCGATTTTCGACAGTGTCCTCTCCTAGCCATAACTCCATTGGTAAAGATAAGGAAAATATGCCCCTAAATCATACCAACAAAAACAATGGCAGCTTAGATAAGCCCACACTCCCCACGGTCAATAGTATTAGCACTCACAACGTGCTAAATCGCACCATGGCACACACTGATATCCAATGTCACAACAATGTCACCCTCAGTAGTACAAGTGGTAATAGTCAGAACTCGGCTACCAACAACTCAGGGTCTTCAGAGTATGGCACACAAACAAATTGCGACCAGATATATAGTACAAGTCTGCTGGGAACTAACCCAGAATGCAGTATACACGAAACCCACACAAGGACACAACTAGCATCAAACAATAGGTGGAATAATAAGCCATGGTCAACACAAGGATCCAATCATTTTTCATCCCCCGTGTCCCTGTCAGCGTTGAAAAATCAGCTGGTAGGGATGTTAACACTCCTAAACCACTAGTGCTGGCTCCCTCCTTGCATGAAAACAGGAACGGTCTAGTACATACGTATCCATTAAGCACACTTGACACTTGCACAAGTATAGGTCAAATAAAGAACCCTACCCACTTCTGTAATACAACTAAAAATAAAAATTCCTTAGTCTTTAGCAAATCCAGTACTCCAACTCCTAATTTTTCGCCGAAAACACCACACACCAACTCGATAGACATAGGTGAGCATGATGCTGGAACTCTTCTTAACATAGGATCGTCATATCAAGCAGAACTACTGGGTGCTGAACCATATTCGGGGCTGACTAACGAACTTAAACACTTCAAATGCTATTTCAACTCCCATTTTACTTAATCCTCATAAATGCTAGATCTGTTCTAAATAAATTGCCGATGCTCAGAGAACTCACAGTAATATACAAACCCCCTGTAATTGTCATCACTGAATCTTGGTGTCATTCGAACATCCTGGATGAAGAAATAAGCTTAGATAACTACACACACTTTCGGTGTGACAGGGAAGGTGGTAAGGGAGGGGGCTATCTCATGTACTTTCTGAATGCACTCACTGTATCACAGCTAGACAGTAGTGCACTTAACATGCCTGAGACTCTATGGGTTAACGTAACAGCATTAATTGGATGCGCCTACAGAGCACCTGGCACCTTTAGTAATTACGAGACCAAACTTATTAATACTCTGGAGCAATTATCCGACTTACAATACGATCATAAGATCCTATGTGGGGACTTTAACTTACCTGAAATCAACTGGGATATACACACAGGCCAAACTAAATTTGATAAGTTCTTATACACACTGGATATACTTGGCTGGAAACAAACTGTCACTACTCCCACAAGAGTTAATAACGTACTAGACTTAACCTTCTGCCACAATATAAGCCCCTGTCAATGTAGTTGAAGATTGAACGATCAATTCATGGTTGTTTGCTCAAACCCAACTTCCCTATATTTTCGTGGAGACATCGATACACCAGTCATCGTCTCATCGTTCGCTGTTCAGAAAGAAGTCAGGCCAAAACTGTCAGAGACCTTCGTTAAAACTTAATTTTAAAGTTGCCTATATGTTGGTGTTACAATAAGGAACTCTCGAGTAGCCAATCGGTGTTTTGGTTTTGCGTCCGTTATTACTAAGCGTTTCTGAGAAACTTCAGGGAACAGCGTGAGCCCGAGTGCAGCAAGAGCTGGGCATTGACGGTTTACGAGACGTGGCTGACAGTTTCTGACAGTGAAGCCAGTTTCTGACGGCGGAAACATTTTCTGACGGATTCAGATAGCTGGTGACAGTTTCGATAGTCACCAATCATCTTTCCTGGTGCCGGTCAAGTCCTCTTTGAACAAGCAATATCTGGACCGTTTCTGGAATTGGGTCAAGTTCAACAATGCCTGGGTCAAAGAAGGGCCAGAGCATCTTGGATGCAAACAGGAAAGTAAGTCATGGTGACTTGTCTGTTAATTGTAACGATGTGTCTGATGTTAAGCATGACATGGTTGATGTTACTGTTTCGCCGTTCAGGGATAATAGGAACATCAAACTCCCTAAATTTGAACCACGGTGTTTCGACGGAGACCCAGCTGATTATTTACACTTTGTAAGGGAATCTGAAATCATGTTGAGTGGCTTTCTATTGAATGATCAAGTGAAGTCAATGTATTTCATGAGGTACTGCACTGAAGTTGCTTCAAGACCTATACGGTACTGTAATTTTATGAAGCCAAACGAAGGGTACTATGAGGCTATGAGAATACTGAGTCAAAGGTTCGGAAGACCTTCGATGATTGTAGGGAAATTATTCGAGGCTGCTAAGGGTAATGGTGGTCAATTACAAGATGACTCCAAGACACTGAGTTTATGGATAATCTGTCGACTTACAAGAATGCATTGATTTCGATGAATTGCATGAGTGACCACTACTCGAGTTTTATCCCGGAAGCAATAGCGAGACGCCTACCTCCTCGACTGCAAAGGAAGTGGGTGAAGATAAGCTCCCGTATAGAAGATGAAGGTATCCAGCCAAAGTTCGACGATATTCTGAAACTGGTAAACGATAGTGCCAATCAATCTATGAGCAAGTTCGCCAGTCTATTAGATCTCACCCCTAGAATAGAGCAGTCTGAGATCAAAATGCAATCATTGATGACGCGTAGGCCTCAGAGAGGTGGTTATCGAGAAAGCTCCATGATGTCTAGTAATGCATATAGACCTAGTGAGTGTAACAGGATTCGTAGTACATCCTCAACAGATAAGTTACAAGATGCAAGACAAACACGGTTTTGTTTTACACGTGTGCAAGAGGTGCATACAGAAGTGAACTGTGAACCGGTGAGCAAGTTCAGTGATAAGCTAAATGTAAACTCCAGGTCTGACTCCGAATTGTGTGACGATAACGGTGCGGTGAAGAAGTCTGTAGTTGCAACTGGTGAGCCGTTGTTGAATAGAGTGTCACAGAATAGAGTTGCTGCTTCAGAGTGCAGTTCTGACCCTACAAGTTTACAGGGTATTACTAGTCAGAGTGAAGTTATAAAACCTTTTATGATTTGCGAGGAGGAACCAAAATTGTCTACTTCTGTTATTAAAGAGTTTGAAAATGATGAAGTTGACGGTAAAGTGAATATTTGTGATAATGACCATGATAGTGCAGATTTGTCTTTGGTTGATCATGATAAGATGAGGGATATGCCTACTACTGCTAAGTTAAATAAAGGTTCTGTGCAACTACAACGTGAAGTAGAATTGAACGCAGATGCAGTTCCAGAAGGTGTGCATACTTGTGAGACAGTCAGTGTAATTGATCAGCGTGTAGCCCACCTATCATCAGATGATAGTGCTAAACCCGAATTAGTAGTGAAAGACAGCAGTGGTGGTAGTCTTGCAGTTGGACAACTATCTGAAAGCCGAAAAAGAACAGCTTCTGATCCACCACTAAGTTCATCACCTTGTGTCACTCAGTCATCGTTGGTGCTGTCATCCACAATGAAACAGACACCCATCAACTCAAGTATCTTGTGCAATGACTATGGTAGTATCAGTTCGTTTGAAAGGACGAATATCAATGGTCAGTTTAGTGAGAATAAGCCAAGTGTAAACGAGAGAGTAATTGTTAAATTGACTTGCACGAATAAAGGCATTTCTAGTTTCAAGTTACTATTTGAATGCTATTATCTTTGGTGTAAATTACTCTGTGCCTACGCTTGGTTGATGAGATATGTCGTGTGTTTGTTCGTCATCTATATTCTACGATACAATGATATGAGCGTGTTGCCGTTCAGATTTGAGGATATAGCTGATAGAAGGAAGTCAGCAAATGAACTCTGCGACGATTTTCCAACCTAGAGCGTCAACCTGAGAAGGGTTGTAGGCGTACTGCTGTAAGTCCTACAGTTCTTCAAAGGTAGTTTGCCGTGCCAGAATACACAACATTTGATGTAGTGATTGTACATATGTTTGTGTTAAATAATTGTGTGAGTTCCAATTGATGTAATTGTTGGTTAATCTTGTTTGTGTCCGTACATTCCACAAATTACAATCGTCAACCTGAGAAGGGTTGTAGGCGTACTGGTGTAAGTCCTGAAATTCTTCAAAGGAATTCCACCAAGACATGATCCGCGAGGTTGTTTGTACTATTTGTATATACGTGTGGTGTGTCATAGCAATTGGTGTATTTTGGATTCATTGTGTTTACTTGTTGTTTTCGTGTCTTGTTGTTATTGCATAATTTTGTTAAAATTTTCGCCGTGATTACTTCTGAAGTTGTTTCTTATCTTCTACATCCGTGAATGAATTGATTGATGTTAAAGACAGCAGATAACCTCGCCAGATACTAGCTTGCTAGGCAACTAGCTTAATATTTTACTCGCCGGTCCCAAGCCCGGGTAAAGAGGGAGGGTTGGGGCGTGGTGCTAGCAACTCCACCCCTGTAAAACAACCAAATCGCTACAGAAACTTCAACGAATAAATATATTAAAAATTCTAAAAACATAAGCAATAGCCTTACTTTTCGCTGGAATCGGGGAAGTGAAATGACGCAGGCTGGTGAAAGCCTTCGGGAAGCCAGTCAGCCGATGTGCCTTCTTTCGATGAAAGCAAAAGTAAGGATGGGTACCTGGAATGTTCGCACAATGTACGAAACTGGAAAGGCTGCCCAGATAGCCGCTGAAATGAGAAGGTACAGAATAGAAGTGTTGGGAATCTGCAAAAGCAGATGGAACGGAACTGGAAGGTGCCAACTACCTACTGGAGAGACAGTAATCTATTCCGGCCACCTAGAGGACAACCACGAGCACACCGAGGGAGTGGCCATCATGATGTCACCAACAGCAACCAAAGCTCTCATGCAGTGGGAACCAATCTCCTCCAGGATAATGACAGCCAGGTTCAACTCAAAAGGAAGGAAAGTTACAGTCATTCAATGTTATGCGCCTACAAACGTCTCAGAACAAGAGAAGAAGGAGGCGTTCTACAGACAACTACAAGCAATAATGGACAACGTCCCAAATGGCGATATCAAAATCCTGATGGGCGACATGAATGCGAAGCTGGGAGGAGACAACACAGGAAGAGAACTCACCATGGGTCGTGAGGCCCTCGGCGAAATGAACGACAATGGTGAACTCTTCTCAGACTTCTGCGCCTTCAATGATTTGGTGATTGGCGGTAGTGTGTTCAAACACAAGGATATACACAAGACGACATGGATTTCACCAGATGGAAACACCAAGAATCAAATAGACTTCATCTCAATTTCAAGAAAGTGGAGACGGAGCCTACTGGACACAAGGTCAAGGAGAGGAGCAGATGTGGGTTCAGACCACTATCTAGTACAAGGGACTTTCAAGGTGAAACTAAAAGCCTCGAGGATAGCTGGGGATAGGCCACAATGCAAGTTCAACACTCAACCACTGAAGGACACAACCACAAAAGACACTTTCACTGCAACTGTCAGAGCAAAGCAGGAAACACTACGCGACAGCACTGAAGAATCATGCGTGGAAGAACATTGGAAGTCTCTGAAGGCGATTCTCAACGAAACGTGTTCAACGGTTCTAGGAAGAAAGAAGAGACAAGACAAGGAATGGCTCTCAACGGACACTTGGAAATTAATAGAAGAGAGGAGAATGGTGAAAGAGAAAATGATTCAATGCAAGGACGGACAAGAGAGAGAGAGACGTCGAGCTCAACTTACACAACATTGGACAAAGAAGTGAAGAAGAGTGCTAGGAAGGACAAAAGACGATTCTACGACAACCTGGCCACTGAAGCTGAGAAGGCAGCAGGCAAAAGGGACCTGAGGACACTATATCAGATAACCAAATCTCTATCCGGGAAGAGACCAACACAAGCGAAACCTATAAAAGACAGCCAAGGGAACCCAATTACCAAGGAAGAAAAACAGATTAAACAATGGGCGGATCACTTCAAAGGACTCTTGAACCGACCATCACCTGCAACCCGTCCAGAAATACCAACAACAGCGCGCACACAACTGCAAGTTGACACCAATCCTCCAACGAGAGCTGAAGTCTTGAACGCAATCAAACTTCTGAAAGCTGGAAAACAGCCGGACCAGATGGAATACCCCCTGAAGCACTGAAAGCAGACCCAGAGACTACAGCAGACATGCTGACTCCATTATTGCAAAAGGTCTGGAAGGAGGGAAAGGTGCCTACTGACTGGAGGAAAGGTTACCTCGTGAAACTACCAAAGAAAGGCGACTTAGGACTCTGCAAGAACTGGCGAGGAATCATGCTCCTATCGACGCCAAGTAAAATCCTGAGTCGCATCATCCTGGAGAGATTAAAGGACGCACTGGAGACAGAACTCCGACCAGAACAAGCTGGATTCAGGAAAGGCAAATCATGTACTGACCAAATTGCAACTCTACGCATCATCATCATCGAACAAAGCATGGAATGGCAATCAAACCTCTACCTCAACTTTATAGACTTTGAGAAGGCCTTCGACAGCGTTGACCGTGAAGTAATTTGGAAACTACTCGAGTACTACGGCGTACCCCAAATATTCATCAACCTTATTCAACAGCTGTACAACAACGGCACCTGCCAAGTGATCCACAACGGAAAACTCAGCGAGGCTTTTGGAGTAAACACAGGAGTCAGACAAAGCTGCTTCTATTATCACCAATGATATTCCTAATTGTGGTGGACTGACTGGAATATGCGTCATACAGTGGGAAACGAAAAGACAGGGATATCCTGGACCGACGTGAAGAACCTAAAAGACCTGGATCTCGAGTGTGGATGATTTATGTTTGATGTCACACAAAATTGAAGACTTACAAGCGAAAACCGACAAACTGGTCGAAGAAGCAGGTAGTGAAGACAGGACTCCAGGTAAACATAGACAAGACGGAGGTTATGAAAATAGCCAACCAACAACAACAACAGCAACATCCAGCGCCAATCACCATCAACGGGAGGGATTTGAAAGAGGTTGCTTCATTCACTCACTGATCTAGAGAGCATTGTCTCAACTACAGGAGGAACGGACGAGGATGTCAAATCGAGCGAGAATCGGGAAGGCGAGAGAAACACATTCATCAACCTGAAAAACCAATATGGAAATCTTCGTCACTCAACATCAACAACAAAATTCAGTCGGATTTTCAATACAAACGTCAAGTCAGTTCTTCTATACTGATCAGAAACTTGGCGGGCGGGTCACAAAGAATATTTCCAACAGCCAGTTGCAGACCTTCATCAACAACTGTCTTCGCTCTATACTGAAGATCAGATGGCCGGACAGGAAAGAATCACCAACAAGAAACTATGGGAACAAATAAAACAAGAACTAATCGCCAACCAACAAATATGCAAGAGAAAGTGGAGATAGATTGGACACTCTTTGAGGAGGCCACTGGGTGACATCGCGTGCGCGTCAGGCCATTGCTCGAGTGGAACCAGGCCGAAAGGGAAGCGACGAGTAGGTCATCAGTGCAAGGGTGACATGGAGGAGATCGTGTGAAGAGGAGTTGAAAGAATATAGACTAACATGGATGCAGGCGAAAAGTACGTCAGAAGACAGAAGAAAATGGAGACGTGCAGCTCAAGCCCTATGTTCCACTAGGAACCCAAGGGAGCAATAATAATAAATAATAAAGAGACAGCAGATGGGTCGTATACGCCAGGGAGGCCATTGCTTAGAATGAAATGCATATGGAGATAATTATTAGCTGTGGTCCCACACGCCGTGGGGCGAGCGTGTAGACGAATGAGGTTTGCATACGTCTCCATTACTAGAACTGAGGCAGAATGAGTGACAAGCGATTGGAGTGGTAATTGGTAGTGGGTAGATAAGAGGATGTGCGAAGAGTATCATGAGGTGGTGCTATGGTCACGTTGCATTCTGCAAGAGTCATTCTAGCAAGTGGCGATTTTGTTACAAGATGTCAAGAGGATGCCATTAATTCGAAGGTATAAGTCGTTATCGATGTGTGAGATTGTGCTGGGGGTATGCCTGTGGTGTGTTGGCTTTTCTGTTTGTTTTCCATTTCAGCTCTGTCCGTGTGACCCAGGTTCTCGCAATGGCGTCCAAGTCAACGTGTATTGGTCGTGATACAAAAAAGGGATGGATCGGTTTTTTGGTGGGGAGTGTCAATGTAGTTGAAGATTGAACGATCAATTCATGGTTGTTTGCTCAAAATCAACTTCCCCAATTTTCGCGGAGGCATCGATACACCAGTCATCGTCTCATCGTTCGCTGTTCAGAAAGAAGTCAGGCCAAAACTGTCAGAGACCTTCGTTAAAACTTAATTTTAAAGTTGCCTATATGTTGGTGTTACAATAAGGAACTCTCGAGTAGCCAATCGGTGTTTTGGTTTTGCGTCCGTTATTACTAAGCGTTTCTGAGAAACTTCAGGGAACAGCGTGAGCCCGAGTGCAGCAAGAGCTGGGCATTGACGGTTTACGAGACGTGGCTTACAGCCCCCTTTCAACCCTAGTGGGTTCTGAGTTCCCAGGGAGCGACCACAAAACAGTGATATGTGCACTGCCAATTCCGCTGAGTAGCATTGCATCTCATATCTCCACTTCACAACAAGTAATATATAGGAACTATAGTAAGGCAAACTGGGCCTTAGTCGAATCAATGCTAAGATCCCCTGAATGGGATGAATACTTCACTACTGATGACCTATCGAGAGCCCTAACCATCTTCTACCATAACTCTAACACATGCTTAGATGCTGTCATTCCACTCCAAACACTAAAGGTTTCCCCACACAGAAAGTCATTCATAAAACCAAAGGATCGTACGAAACTGAAGAGACTCTCAACAAGTTACTTCAAACACCACGACTTTGGCACTCTAGGTCTAAT